CAGCCGTTTAAAGATATTGACCGTCGAGGTTCAATGTTTGGGGATGTATGAATTATGAAGCGTTTGCCACTTGCCATCATCCTCAACAGTCGACAAGAGAGGCATTCGAAACCCACGCAGCCGAGACTTCGGTGGACTGCCGGCGCTCTCCGTCAAACCTCGATACGGTGCCAGCACCACGGCCAGCAACACGTGGGAGGGTTCCAGACATTCAACTCTTTTGCAATACAATTTGGCCAGCAACACGTGGGAGGGTTCCAGACATTCAACTCTTTTGCAATACAATTTGGCCAGCAACACGTGGGAGGGTTCGAGACATTCAACTCTTTTGCAATACAATTTGGCCAGCAACACGTGGGAGGGTTCGAGACATTCAACTCTTTTGCAATACAATTTGGCCAGCAACACGTGGGAGGGTTCGAGACATTCAACTCTTTTGCAATACAATTTGGCCAGCAACACGTGGGAGGGTTCGAGACATTCAACTCTTTTGCAATACAATTTGGCCAGCAACACGTGGGAGGGTTCCAGACATTCAACTCTTTTGCAATACAATTTGGCCAGCAACACGTGGGAGGGTTCCAGACATTCAACTCTTTTGCAATACAATTTGGCCAGCAACACGTGGGAGGGTTCCAGACATTCAACTCTTTTGCAATACAATTTGGCCAGCAACACGTGGGAGGGTTCCAGACATTCAACTCTTTTGCAATACAATTTCCAGACTAACAAGCGCACTCACGCGCGCGTGTCTATAGTGTTATTAACCTAGCTCAAGCTGCAGTCTAATTATAATTGTTTTCTCATTGGTGAATTCTTGACGAGCACCGTAGTTTGTGCTGCCTGGGTGTTTCGCCTGAATGTTGGATGTTCTCTTGAAGGGACTACAGAAAGCGCCGCATTTATACAGATTCGTTAATTTCTTTATACTACTACTAAAAACTCGCTTGTTTGCCCGTTCAAGGACGGGTGTATATTGCAGTAAATATGAAATACAGGGTGTTTAAAAAAGATGGACACGATTTGAAATCGCCATATAACCACGAACCGCCCATGAATGAAACTCTTACCACTTGAAAGAGCAGGGCATAGCTTTTTAAACGGTTACCGCTAGATACCTCTCCCAGGGCACAAACAGCCCCTAGCCTCAGTCATTCTCTAGATGGTGACCCCAGCGCACAAACAGCCCCTAGCCTCAGTCATTCTCTAGATGGTGACCCCAGCTCACAAACAGCCCCTAGCCTCAGTCATTCTCTAGATGGTGACCCCAGCTCACAAACAGCCCCTAGCCTCAGTCATTCTCTAGATGGTGACCCCAGCTCACAAACAGCCCCTAGCCTCAGTCATTGGCAAGACGGCGACCCCACCGCAACACAAGGGGCGTTTTGCGTTCTGCAGTTCAGCAAGACTGAATCCGTAATTGCGGTGCAGCGTGCGTTTCAACGGCGTTTTGGCATGGATCCTCCAATGTCAAAGAGCGTTCGTCGTTGGTACCGACAGTTTGAGGAAGCTGTTGATGTAAGGAGAAGAGCACAGGGCGACCACGCACCTCAGAGGAAAACGTAAGAAGAGAGGCGTTTGGGACGAACTCAACTATCGTCTCGATGTTGTCCTACAGCAGGTGAACGGCACATAGAGCATTTATAAAATGGTTAGTAAAACTTGATAACTCATTAAACCGTTTGTAACTTTTTGTGTAATTGTAATATTTTGCCATCGTGAAATATACTGCTTTGAAATTGGGTCCACATCTTTCAAACACCCTGTATTTAATAGAAACATTGTTCAGCTCATTATTATATACATATTCTTGGTTCTTTCGGTAAAGTCACGTTGATAGAAAATAAAAAATAATAAAATTATTCATGAGGGAGGGGTTGCCCCATGTGGAGTGACGTCACCCGTTAATGGTTATTGGGGAGGGGTGCGGCATGTGGAGTGACGTCACCCGCTCATGATTATTAATGAGGGGAGGGGTGCGGCACGTGGAGTGCGCAACCTTCTTGCGCGTTTGTGTAAATTTCCACGCGCGTATGAATATTAATGAAGGGGGGGGGGGCTCTTTTGCAGTGACGTCACGCACGGATGTAGCAGTGTGCTGCGTAGATTTATTTTTACCGTCACTTTCTTTAAAGAAACGTCATATTTGAAGCGATTTTTCGTAATAAATTATTTAATTCAGCTCGACCTTCCTCTGCGTTAGTGTCAAAATCCACCCACTCATGAATATTAATGAGGGGGTGTGCCTCATGTGGAGCGACGTCACGCGGGGGGATGGACCTCATGTGGAGTGACGTCACGCGGACAGAAATTTCTGGGTGATAATAGTAGGTAGTAATAATTTCAAATTGTAACGCTGCGCCGCCGTGGCAGTGTCCGCTCCCCACTCTCAGAGAGAGAGAGACAGGACGATTCTTAGAGGCGCAAGGAGGAGCACCCACAGACACGAGCGGGAAGGCAGCAGCAGCGGCCACGCAGTTAACCGGCACCAAATCCCCCCCCCAAGCTCTGCGGTCCTCTACATATGAATGTGTTTTCGGCCAAGTAATGAGCGTTCACGTGTAGGGCGAAACGAGAGCACCTGGAGAAAACCCATACAAGCGAGGGGGCAACACTCTATGCCTTAACAGATGTAAAAGGTGGCGTCCACACTTTGCTGTGCCACCTGGCAAGCCAGGGTGTGACAACCTCCTTGACACGCACAGGAAGGGTGTCACAGCATCCGTGTGCGATCCACGAACCCTCGCTGCTACCTCGACGGCGCTGGTTAACGCTACCCGCGTGCATGGACATCTATCGTCGCCGTGACATGGCCAGCAAAATCGAGTCCATGCAGTCTGCCTGTGTTCAAGCGTTGCGCTGAGTGGCATCTGTTCCTATTTCTCGTGGAGGCTCATTAATATATAAGTGGATTGCACTTTCACTTTGAAAGTTGTTACAGGTGCAGAAAATGTATTTTTGGAGCATCTTATTAAACCTATTATTATTGCAGGCTCACATGAATAAATAAATTGTTTAAACAGTTGTGCAACACAAAAAGGCAATATCGTAGCCATGCAATATTGTTTCCTAAATTAATAACTAGCCATATGTATGTTTGTGTGGAGAGCGGTAGCGTCGTGTTGAGCGCACTGCGTCATGAACCCGGCAACCCGAGCTCAATTGCTGCTCACGGTCAACACCGGTGACGTTTATCTGAACGAGCCCTGGGCGTCCCCTAGGTCGACTCAGCCTTAAATGAGTACCTGGTGCCATGTGTAAACATCATCATCAGGGAGACAAAGGCGGTTGGGCGTGATTCTGGCCACTCACCCCTCGTGTGCCCTGCCAGCCTTACTAAGTCCTCACTAACACTTTCCCCAACAGTCTCTGAAGGCTGCACGGGGGATCTTTGTGTGTCGCCCACCCCCAATAACATAGCAGTCTTGTCTGGACAAACCGGGACCATATTCTAGTCTTGGCCTAAATTACTGATAAATTAGTGAATAGCTGGTGTCTGGTATAAACTAATGAATGCGTTGACTCATTGACATAATATCGGTCCTTCAGCTCAAAATACAGGCACGGAAACACGCATCGTCGTCAGCCATGATTAATCCACTGCTAGATGAAGGCCTCCCCGAGCCGCCCGCCCGCCCGCCACTGCTCACAGCTTCCTCCCACATGTGTAGTGACAATCGCAGTCACTACACAGGTGGACGCTCGGTCAATCCCGCTCGTCTGACGTTGGCCCTCCTGGCCCCTGCGAGGCGCCTCCCTCCGAGAGCGGACCGTGCGGCAGCAGCGGCGGTGGTGGTGAGTCACAAGTCGACGTCTTCGTGATTCTCGGTATTTTCTGGCTCCCCTCCCCCAGACAGCTCCGGCAATGATACCTTGCTCTGTAACCAAATAAATAGGCAGACAAAACTCCTCTCCGCATTAACAATGAAGGTATTCGTTTTACACAGCCCACCAGCTACACGGCCTTCTGGGAGTACGTGATGTCAGCAGCGTTGGGTCAGCGCAAGCAAAACTCGGGACCGGTTGTGACATTCGGTGTCTCATCAATAGAGGCAGGCTCGCTTGAACTAATGCTGGTGAACTGCCCGATGTTAATAGGCCCTCTCTACCAGATGTGGGTCCGAAATAAGTATAGATACTTTATAGCACTCATAAAATACTGAACGAATGTGTATTGTACAAAATAATAATGCGAGTTAGTTACAGGTGACGTTTGCGCCAAGTGTCAAGCGATAGTGAGCTGTTGGTGCAATTAAAGCATTGTTTTGATCATGAGCGCTGGTGAAAGTCAAATGAGCATTTACAGCCATTTGGCTGAAATGAAAGTCCACCGTTAATAATACAGAAGTAAGTGTGTGTGTGTCAGTATTAAGAATGAACTATATATTCTTAGCTCTTTCGGTAAAGTCACGTTGAAGGGAAACAATAAAAGAATACAATATATATTTTTATATATAATTTTTATTGTTATATATATTTAATTATTTTATTGTTTCCCTTCAACGTGACTTTACCGAAAGAGCTAAGAATATGAATTACTGCAGTCACGAAAGCTTTAAATCAAAATTTAATGAACTATATGTTTAAAAAATAATTAGCAGGAGCCTGAGCATACTTCTTAACATTCCTCCGTGAAAGCCGTCTGACCTCCTCTTGTACCGTGAATGTCTAAGTGTGCTCCGGCAATTACGTGCCGTGCACCGCTCGAAATGTCGCTCCCCTCCCCAACGGCGCAGGTTCATTTCATCCGCTCTGCCGCCTCGGCCCACCCAGCCGTGTGGACGGTTGATGCGGTCGATCGGCAAAGCTGCGTGTGGGTGGTGGGGTAAAACGTGGGTACTCCCAGCTCTTCCAAAGCTGTCTGCTCAGCGCGTAAGAGTGGGCCCTCTGTGCAGGAAGGTGAACCTTGGCACCTCCATTGGGAGGCCTCTTTCGGCCAGCAAGCGGCGGTGCGGTCGCGTGCCTTGCGCCCTCACGCCCCCGCCTCTCGCCCTCCACAGATGCACTCGCTGAGGCTCCTGAGCCAGAGTCAGCCGTCGCAGATTTTCCACAGCATGTCGGACAACGTGCGCCCGACGCAGGGCCTCAACAACCGATGCATCCGCACCAACATCAACTTCAGCCAGCCCGGGAAGGACTGCCCCAACAAGAAGCCGCAGAAGCTGCAGTACAGAGGTGCGCGCCGCGGTGACCGGCAACGGGAGGCCGTGGCGGCACGCGATCGGTCGAGCGGGTTGGAACGGCCGTGGCGGTCGTCTCTCGCCAGCGTTGGCCACCGCCGCTCTGGGGTTTGATCCGCAGCGGGGCAGCTCCCGCGTAGCGCGGCTCTCTTTTTCTCGCGCGTGGGGCACCTCTGGCCCGCCTCGCTGCAACTGAAGCCGGTTAACCTCTCCAAGACGTGCGCCCGTAGAGCCTTGAAAGGCTGAGCCGAGCTCACGCGCCACCTCTCGTGCTGTGAATTAAAATGTTGCGCGCTTCAAACCGAAGCGGTGCAGTTTGGGTACCGCAGGCGCAGCCTTTGTCCTCGAGTGAACAACCGCAAGGGGCGTGGGTGAACGTGTGGCGGGGGCCGTGCTGGCCGGGCGTGGTGCTGGCCGGGCATGGTGCTGGCCCCACCACCACCTCCCGGTGCGTTGCAATGCCGGAATAATTAGTAGACTTTCGCCCAGGAGCGAATTAAGTCGAAATGTAGGTTCATTGTCCGTGTGTTTGCGTGTGTGTGTGTGTGTTTGCGTGTGTGTGCACGCACAGGCGTTCTGTCACGTTGTTGTCAAGCTGTTGATCTGAGTGGACTTAATTCCTATCTACTTCTAATCCTGGATTTGCCACCAGCGAGATCAGACTTTAATTAATCACGGGTTAAGATGTGAGAAAATTATCCTGTCATCGCTGGAGGTGAGCGCAAGCTTTAATGAAGGCGGCTGTGGTGTGCCTCTCTCCATACCCAGGACATTGCTTGCAATAAAATTTCAGGTAGAAAATATAAAATAAAATCAATTTAGAATTGTGCTGATTGCCATGAATAATTGGCTACATGATTTAATTGGATACTGTTAGGGTAGTAAGGTGTCAATTATTGAACCATTAAACATCGTGAGCTTTGAAGCTTTAAAACATAATTTTTACTTTGCATCTATACTGTATGTCAAATTATTCAATTACTGAATTTAAGCCAAATTAAACACATCCGATGTTTCATAGAAAGTTAATTAAAAAAATAATGAAAATGCACTAATTGTCAATTTTCTCTTGCAGTTAATGAATTGATTCTGAAATAATGAAGATGTGAGCAAAGGCCTTGACTGCAGCACTTTGAATGTTGTCGAGGCAGAACAACAATTTACAAATACTGGACAAAAAGATTTAACAGAGCTAAAAGATAAATATATATGACAGCTAATCCCGGCTGTAATTGTGTACATTTCGTAAACAATAAGAAAACTAGGTGACAGGGCACTGTCCCTGACACTTGCTCGTAAAGCGACGCCACCACAGCCGACGGGGATCCATCGCGTCCATGAAGACGCCGCTCGAAGACGCGGATTACCGGAGTCTCGTTGAGAGGAGGGGAGAGGAGTCTCGTGACAGGCACGTGGTCCCAAGCGTCCCACCAACACCGCCGCCACGGCGCTGAAATCCCCGGCGCCATTCCACGGTGCCAGGGACCGCCGAAACGATTCACAAACCCCGGCGGTAATGAAGGCAGAAAGTTCCCGACTTCGAATACAAATGCTGCTTGACAAAAGGCGCATCAAACGGGCGTTTTGAAGCAGACAATCCGAGGGAAGAGGACGTGCGCTCTCCACTTCAAAGGACCTTTACCGGACTAATGACTGCATTCTGCTGTTGAATACGGTGCGAGAGCCGGCACGATGCGTGCACTTGCAGCGCGGACAGACGCGGGGTTGCTGGGGGCCCACGGTCATCGCACGCACACGGACGCGCACGCACGCGCGCGCACACACACTCACGCACGCACGCGCGCGCGCGGACACACTCACGCACGCACGCACACACGCACGCACACGCGCACACACGCACGCACGCACGCACACACGCACGCACACACACACTCACGCACGCACACACGCACGCGCACTCACGCACACACACACTCTAGCCTATTCAGTCAAAGAGTTATGTCACAGCCTTCGCTGTTTGGGGGGACTGGAGCCTGCGTAAAGCACTCCTCGTCACGTGAGCACACTCTCGCCAGGACCACCACTCACACGTGTGGTGTATAAATGTACACGTAGACCACAGTGCATATGCGACCAACTTCGGGAATGCAACGTTATATGTACGGTGGGGGGCAGGGGTATGGGGTAGGCGTGCACAGGGGCATTGCTATTTTATTCCCAGCTGGCTAGCGGGGGGTGGGGGGGGGAGGTAGCGTCGCGACGAGGCCGCGCTGCGCTCCCACGCGCTCGTGGTCGCTCCCCGGCGGGCGGCGTGCGAGCCACCCGGGGGGGGGGGGGGGGGTCTCCCGGGGCGGCTCGGCTGCGCGCAAATTGTGAACGCCGCGGATATTGTCGTGTGGATGATGACGGCGGCGGTAATTATTGATGAATATATTCCGGCAAACAAAAAAATTGTGCAGCTCAGCTTCTGTGGCCAGTGCATTCATTTTTCAGGCTGCTGTTCAGGCATAGGTAGCATTCGACAGGCCCCGGTGGCTGCTTGAGGCCAACGGCTTCTGCCTTGTGTACAATCGCAGATGAGGTCGAGAGGTTGTCCCGTTGGAACGGCGGTAACGTAAGTAAATTACGGAGCTCGTCAAGTTCATCGCTTTTTGACAGTTGCCTAAAAGTGTGTTTGTTTCTTAGTCCACACTTGCCCATTCACTCAAACTCAACAGCCAAAGTAGAATCTTCTTCAAGAAAGGGCCCAGCCTACAAAGCAAAGCAATTTTCTTGACCAGGAATGTTTGCGTGGTTTTAACAAAATAAAATAATTCCATTGCAATGGCTGACAACAAGCCTCTTGGATCTAATTTTTATTCATTCGGACCCTGCCAAGTACAAAGCAATGGGCAAAACTTTGTCATTTATTGTGTTTTTAAGTTGCACAAGTTGTTATTGTCGTCGTCGTTGTCGTCTCTGTTGGCATGACATGAACAGTTTGGAGTTTGCAGCCTCGTGGGGGTGTGCTCGGTGGCGCACGTAATGTGTTGGAACTAAAATAATCTGGACATGGGGGCGCACGGGCAGCGCAATGACTGGCCCAGCCAAACGAGCTGAGGGTTTGGCAGAGACGCGTGGATAACCGCTCGTGCTGCTCCATTTCCTGCCAAGGAAATACATTTTTGGTCACTTTGCCCATGCTCCGCAAAGCCACTGAAAATGAAAACAATCAAGCAGCACTTTTGTGTCAGGTTTTATCTGACCCCACGGAAATCCATGGAATGGCTTTCATTTACTCCTTCTGCAGAAACATGTCGAAAGCAGGTGATTTTGCAGAATTTTATTACCATGTCCTGCACAATTTATTGGAAAGCAGCTTGTATGACTCATACTTGCTGCATCCGCATTTCACATCGCGGCGTTCTAATTTTGCGCTTCTCAGCCCCAGCGATGAGCTTGAAGATATTATCTGAATTGCTCGAGCGTTACCCCGTCGTCGTTTCATTGTTTTATTTTCGCCACGCTCGTGACCGGTGTGCATCGATGCCGACGTCGGAGAGGTCGAGTGCCCGAGATGAACAGACGCGACGAGACGGTGGTTGTCGTGGCGCGGCATCATCGTTGAGCCCCAGCGCTGCCGCCTGCGCTCGTGGACGTCTGGAGGCTGCGTGAAGGCTTCCCGTGAGCCCAGCTAGCCCTTTAATAGGCAGGCCACCCGCAAGCATTGAAAGAGAAAAGGCAAATACTTTGTTACGTGTCGAAATGAATAAGCAGATATTGGGAACATTATTGCATGGACCAGTTTAATATATCAAAGTATTGCGTTGGGGTTTTTTTCTTTCAATTGCAGCCTAGAAAAGCTTTCAGTCAGTTGGATAACTTTGATATGAAGTCTATTTTGCGTTTGTTTATTTAGTTATGGTGGGCGTGGGGGGCGAGCGGTTGTTCCGTTAATTTTCAAAGTATGCCAATTGTTGACATTTTCTTTGTTTTCCCGTCTAGTCCATTTAAGTATATTGACTTGAATTGCAGTGGTGTTCAGGACTCTTAATCAGACATGAATTTATCTGGAAATAAAGTACATTTAATTTGATGTCTGTGCGTTTGCTGACATTTTGTGTTTTAAATGGTTCGTTTTCTGTCGCATTATTATTTTGCCGTAAAGGTCACCTCTTGCTGTTTGTTATTTTAATTTATACATCGTATCAATTGCAGGGGGACGGGGGGGAAACATCTCAAAGCACGTTACCGCAACGATTGGGATTAAATACAACCTAAACATGGATGTGAAACGATGCAGAGTTACATGTAAGTGAAGGAACAATACAATAACACGTCGTCGAGTGTTTCATTTAAAATGCTTTCCCAAAGCTTCCATATGCACGGTCTAGTAGAATTCAACATTGACGAACTGCACTGCTGCTTAGAACTCTGGTACAGAGCCAGCAGGCACACGGTCGAGAGGCGCGGTCGGCAGGGCACAATAACAGGCGAGAGCATGGAAGCCACTGGTGCTCGGCAGCGTGCTGGAGGTTTCACATCTCTCACCTTAATCTCTCGTCCTGCAGATGAGGCAGTGCAGAGCGGTCCTGCGTGCTCTGTGGACATTAAAGGTCTCCGGGAGCATGTTTGGCAAAGGGCAGCAGCGTGAGCCCCACGTGACCTTGCTAGAGTTCCACGGCAGCCCAATGAGGATATCCCCCCCCCCACCTTCCAGCCCCCCCCCACCTCCCCGTTCGTTCACGCACAGCAGCACAAATCTACGATTTCCCTCTTGTAGGTGGATATCATTCCAGATGAGACGCACGCATCATGGTGGATTTGTCCACCCAGAAGCGTCGTCACATCTGAGTTAACGAAGCCCCCCCCCCTACGCCACCCCCAAGCGGGCCTGTCGCTCAGCACGGCGGCAGTGAGTCGGCGACTGCTCTCGAAGACGTCGACCGTGATCGTTAACAGAATCGGCATATTTATCTAAACTGCAGGAGGAATCCGATGAGCTATAAAGCTCTTTATAACAGATGTCCAGTAGGGGCACGGGGTCAGAACGTTACAACATCAAACAATACAAAACACGATAGGAGTGCAAAGTATAAGAAAGGTGAACAAATCACTTAAACAAATATGGAAGAAAAAAATGTACTTACCAGGTAAGGCCCGCTGAGGAATAAACTTATTTTTCGGAAGCGACCTGGCCACAAATGATACCGCAACAAAGTGGCTTATCGTGCGGAAATTTACAGCGGCCAATTTCTGTAAATAATCTAAACAAATAATCTAAACAAATGATCTGTAAATAATCTAACGGCGCAGGACAAGAAGAGGAAGCCTCTCGTCGGCGTCGTTGTCCTACGGAGATTTTGCACCGACGGCCCACGCTCGAAACTCAAATCGAATCTGAAAATGCATCGTCACTTCTAGGCGAAATGTGATTTGTAACGAGGTGTTTGCTTCTCTGGCTGGGAACGTGGCATGGGACGGCACACTGTTGGCATCCATGATATTGCATCGCTTTTCATTTTCCCCATCGTAACGAATATCTGCGCACGTTTACAATTTGCATCAAATCAAACAACGGATACAGCTGCTTTAAGGGTCCAGGACGAAATTACCGTGACCGTATCTAAATTAGCATGATAATTGCAGGAAAATTTTTTGAATGGTTGCTTACATTAAAGTGCCTTTTTTATTTTTAAACCATTTTTTAATTACCAATGGGTCAGATGTCTGCAGAAATGGCCTGTGAAGTTAAATTGCATTATATCATCACACCCTGGACACACACAAACCCACACACAGCATGTCCGCACTGTGGACCTATTAGTGTAGGGAAGCAGGTGGAGAAGACAATGTCACCTTAGGGTGAATTAAAAATTGGGGAGAATTTGTATTCTACGTAAACCATTCTCATCCAGATTCCTGTTTAACTATTGAACTGAGAAACTGGCATCTTTTCTTAGTCCACAGATTACAGCCCTTACGATATATAATTACTATTGACAGCCCTTAGTCAATCCACTGCTGGATGAAGGCTCTCCCCATGCTGTGTTGGTCAGGCGAGTGTGTGTGGGGGGGGGGGGGAACCATACTTCACGACGCTGCAGTAACGGTTTCATGAAGAGAGAACTCAGGGCCGGTTCAGAAGTCACTCGCCACTCTTGTAAGCCGTGGCCCGGAATCAAACTCAGGTACGTGGATTCACACCCCGTATATGAACTTATTTAAATA